GAATAATGAAAAATGTTTCTGCGTGGGTTAAGATGCAGTGCATCACAAGGCCCGTTGGGTGGTCTGATGGGGTACCGAAAAATGTTCATCAAAGCAGAGGGGTGAACTATGCTACTTTTGTACCATTCTATGGTGTGTCTGTGGGCTGGTAAACTATTGTTTTTATGTTGAGCCCTTTCAGCTATTTGTGACAGATTTATTCAGTATAATCTGTTAATTCAACATACCACCACAGCAGAGCATTGCAAAATGAAGTGTTCTGTGTTACGTTTATCGGAAACGCAGTGAGCCAACGTTTGTGACCGGATGTGTTACATCCCCATCATTGGAGCGGAACTAAGCGGTCCACGCTGTCGGTTACTTGTGCCTAACCGTTGTGTGTTTGTGCATCACTTCTCCAGGTTGCGGTAATTGAAGTTATTTGTCACATCATTTCTAAGCAAGCCACATTGCTTTAATAGTGCCTCATTCTACATCAGCGACGTCTGTCAAATTTATACTTCGAAAAGTCCCCGAGGATTTCATCCAAGCTACAGGGTCCAACAAACTAGCAATACAATGATAAAAAGTGCCAGATATATATAGCATTCTAAGCTGTGTGATTCACTATTATGGGTAGCGGTTCTGAGCCTAGAGAAGCCACGTATTTAGGCAGTTAAATCCACTATTCGGTAACACCTTCCTAATGCAAACGATTTGGAGCGGTACACGATCTTTTACAGTACCAAATAAGTTTACCTCCTGGGACGCAATCTGTCGCAATTTTCATTAGTGAGGACAAAAAGTTTATCGCATCAGCGCTTGAGGGTTGTATGTCGCAAGCATCACATTGAGGCTGAACTGGGGTGTGTAACTTTTAATGAATCTATGGAAACCAAGATAATACTTAGAATTGCGCATATGAATGAATCAAGCTGATAATCTCTCCTAAATGGCAACTGTCTGCTGAATGAACTTGGCACTTAGGACCAATACAATTACTCATTAACCGAAAATGGGGGTTAAAATACCATGTTTAATTAAAAGTAACGGACATTGAGCCAATGCATCCTTGTAATCTAACGTAATTAAATTCCTTTGTGGAAGTCCCCATCGTATACACGAGAATAACTCACACACCTTCCATGTAAGTACGTCGGGTTTTTATTGTCTGTCTATTATTGAGACTAGTATGTGAAAGCGTTGTGGCAGCATCTTATCGCAGTTCGTTCTTTTTCGCGTCTAGAGATACATCTAGTACACTGCGTTCTACTCACCCGAGTCCGTTTGTGAATTATCAAGTGGTACTAAGGCTATTTATTGGTTTTTACTCTAAACGCTGCAGTTCCAGAAGAGTTGTTCTTGGTCAATTCAAGTGTAGTTAGCTCAAGCTGTTCACATAACCTGTGGTGTTCCACCTATTAACTAAAGTCTTTGATGCTATACCACAGAAGTTAACACTTAAACTTTACCACTGCGGTTAATGATACATTTTAGGGCCTGCGGCATCACCTCAAATTAGACCACGATAGAAAGTTTATGAATTAAGTCTCCTGTAATTTCCTCCTGCTCAGTAGACTACATAGCGTTGATTCTGATCCTAAAGTACTGGCCTATTCTATGATATTTGTTACTAACATATAACGAAGATATTTCATTCATATAAACCGCATCGTTTTATCCATCATGCCATTATCTGAATAAATTCCTTTATTAAAATGTAACCTCTCGGATAGTCCTGATTAATACGAATCTCACTGAGGATCCACCAACCAGATCGTTCGTCTGACCAATAAAATCAAAGTTCACATGAAGGAAACTTCAAAGGCTCAAATAAAACCGTCATCCTTATGTTACAGATATAAATACTTAGTCCATTTTCTTCTACGGTTTATAAGTAAGTTGTCTAAATTGCTACAGTATGTCGTTGCTTCGCTGCAAAATACTACTGGACCACGGAAGTTTATGTTCTGGTAGCAGTTTCGCTGAACGCTGAATACTTTGGGTTCACCAATCTCTTGTGGACACATGTAACGTTTGTACACTGATACAGACGGGCTAAGCAGGAATTCAAATGATTAAAAGTTGCGATATTTAATTCTACTGTGTAACCCTTTACGTCACAACTTCTGTTCCAAACTTGCCTGGAATTACTAACTTATAAATTACTTACGTCTCTGAATTCTGTATAGTTGTAGCATATCGATTAAGGCTTGTGCGGAAACCATCAGTTTTCACTAATATTTCACTCAATTTCTTATGCACATTCGTTCTTCCATAACAAAAGTTGGCCTTATTGTAGGAGCAAAATACTTGAAATCTCTGCCTCATATCTCTTGCATGCAGTCAATGAGTTCACTTTATATATAAAATTTTTAAAGTAGTCAGCTCGACACACCACTTGAATATGGCTTTTATGTGCTACCTCACACTTTGATTTAGTAAGGTACTATAGAAAACGCCTTTATACACCATAATAATAATAATCGTAAGAATAATAATGGAAAATACAGGGCGGCTTCACTTACTAAATTTGCGGATTGCTCGAAAGGCTAGTGCGACAATCACCAGCTTATCTGCCTCATTAAGCGCCATCCGCGTCGGAAAACTTTTAGTGCGTCAGCACCGCCGCATTGTTTAAGACAAACTAACGGTGTATTGAAATGAGCGAAATTTTCTACATTTTCAGTCATAAACAAAGAACATTGTTCGTTCACACTTGATCTCATCCGGGGCTATTTGCTTGCATCAAGCTTACTGAAATTAAGGTCACCTGAGTGAGGCAAAACACCGTGGAATTTGTGGTTCACGAACACAAAGATATCTGCGTGCTTTACTGGCAATATATTCATGCTCAATTGTCTATCATGTGTTAACACTACGAGCGATTACAAACATCGGCAACGTATAGACTCAAACTCTGCGCCCGACAAAGAAAGGATAGGATCGAAAAGTGCCTGTCAAAATTGCAATGTTAACCATACTATACAGATTAGAAAATTCCAAACTCGGTGGTGAAGTTTTCGAGAGACAATGAGTAGGTCTACCCTAGCGTTATTTTGCAATAGTCTAGCCTGGTAAAGGTATCGGTTTACTGTATATAATCTAATAAGAAACGGAAGCATTACGCTTGAAGCAAACAATTGTTTCCTGGCTAACATCAAAACATACTTTTGGAAAGGCATAGTTCAGCAGAAGGTACATAAATCAAACACCGCTTGGACGAAAGTAAATAGCTATCGGAACGCGCGTCTGGCGACCAAGCGCTTGAAAGTACAAGGTGCCGCTGAGCAAGATCCGATCCGTCTCAGTTGATTGCAGATCAAGATAGTTGCACTGAGTTGACGAGTCTCTTCTGAATGCATATATTCGGTTTTGTCAATCTGATGCATGACATTTCAGCCGTAGCAATCAACTGTGCCCCTGACCGATAACTTAGTTGCGGCGGTGCACTGTACCGGAGTTGCGAAGTAGTACGTTTGTCTATTTGATGCCCAGCGCAAATCAAGTGGTTGATTATTGCACTCACATTAGTGCGTTCACGCTGACTGATGAGCGGATTCGTCAAATGTTCCTTGATTGGCGTTTTCAGGTGCCTGGTCGTACGTACCATATACCTATCCTCACAGGAGCATGTGAACCAGTATATAACATGAATTGGTGTTGATCATGTAAGATTGAAGCTGAGAATAATTAGTAGTTTTCTCTTAACAGCAACATTGGGCGATAGATTTACAGCCTGCTGAATGCCGTCGAAAGTTTCAACAGAGCCCATACCAATACCTTATTCACAACAAATAATGAAACATCCAAATAAATTTCTTGTATGCAGGCTTAAGAGGAAAAGGCAGCGGATCACTCCAAACAGCAGGATACAGAAAACTATACTAGATAGAGCAATACACGAATTTCAGTTTTGTTCCACTAAGCCAAGAAAGGGCACGGTTACACATGGACAAACCGTGTGAGCAATATCTGCAGCAAGGACACAACTGATAATGAACCGAGGAGAGTAAAGCAGAGGCTTCTCGGAAATGTCTATAAAGAACGCTTCATCGACTATCCTATGTTGCGAAGCTGTCCGAGATTCACCGTGCAAACGGTTGAGTAGAATCAGACTTTTCTCCAACTTCCTTAAGGGATATGTGGCGGATGAACTATATACAAGACGACTGATACGAACATGCAGACACATTAAATGGAGTGCAACTTAACGTTGCCTTCACGAACAAATTGCTACTTGTTTCCAGATTCAAAGATAAAGTGCACGATCGACACCAAACCATTGTTATATACTGGTTCACATGCTCCTGTGAGGATAGGTATATGGTACGTACGACCAGGCACCTGAAAACGCCAATCAAGGAACATTTGACGAATCCGCTCATCAGTCAGCGTGAACGCACTAACGTGAGTGTAATAATTAACCACTTGGTTTGCGCTGGGCATCAAATAGACAAACTTACTGCTTCCCAAACCCGGTACAGTGCACCGTTGCAACTAACTTGTCGGTCAGGGGCACAGTTGATTGCTACGGCTGAAATGTCATGCATCAGATTGACAAAACCGAATATATGCATTCAGAAGAGACTCGTCAACTCAGTGCAACTATCTTGATCTGCAATCAACTGAGACGGATCGGATCTTGCTCAGCGGCACCATGTGCGTTCAAGCACTGGATTGCCAGAAGCGTGTTCCGTTAGCTGTTTACTTTCGTCCAAGCGGTGTTTAATTTATATATCTTCTACTGAACTATGCCTTTACAAACTTGTATTTTTGAAGTTAGCCGGATGATAAACAAATCGAAAACAATGGTTTGCTTCAAGCGTAATGCTTACGCTTCCTCTTGTGATAGGCTGTAAATGGGCATTTTACACGAGATTTACTATCTCACATTTTAAATTTTATTTGATTTTAAAATCTGCAAAGGGTTTGTATTCAACAACCCTTTTAACCCACTGTGCTGCTCAAGGTTTCTTCCAAAAGCAAATTCATCCAATTTTATTGCCATTCTTCTGCAGGAATTCGTATGCATCACCATCTGCGGATGCTTCCAGCTGATCGCAATGATCGTGGCGTCCGCAACTACCGGAGGCCGTCCAACTATTATAGCCACTGCCGTGAGTTCTATTGACTAAATTTTAACTGACACGCAGACTTTGCATCCTGGTGATTTTTCCTACTGCAAATATAAACTGAGATTGGTCGACAGATTGAAAAGTGTATAAGTCTTCACGATTATTGGGGATTGCCTATTCGCGATTAGTTAGCTGTAACTATGGTAACCATTCTCACCATCGGTTACTATTCAATCGATCGTCCTCGTGGTTATAACAATGATTAACTTTTCAATTTAGCATGCACCCCACAAAGATAATATAGTTTTAATAATAACTAAGATATGTGAGGTTTCGTATGTTAGCACAATTGCTAAACATGAATAGTGCTTCACATGTATACACTTAAAAAATCACACAATTTTTAGAAGAAAGGAGCTGTGTCCAAACCTACTTTGGCTGACTGAAAGAGTATATATCACCTCATGCTATTAGTGCGGTTTGAAGAGAAGTGGTAGCAAGGGGTAAATGACTTGACTGATTTAGTGTTGGTTCTTTTCGTTGTCGTTGTTGTCTACTTACACACCTGCATGGCATCACATGAAGGTTACTTCATTTAATATTATGGTTGGTTTGTGACGCTACTTTTTGCTATCTGGTCTCTTAGGGTCTTACAGAGGCAAATTGTCTGTATTGCATGGCTTAATGAAACGCACAACAACGTATGCAAGTGCACTTGGCCGTGCACATCACGTAACTCCGTACCATGGAAATCTTTTCGAAAGTGCAGCAATATGGTTGGCCCATTAGAATATAGGCCAAACTTTCGCTTACCGCATCGTGTATTCTCTATGCCACCGTGGACGTTCAGAGGTAATTAGTATGTCAATGAAAGAAATATTTCATCAGCCAACAAGTGTGGTTGAGCGACTTCCGTTTATTATATCCACTTTCAATGTTGCACCAGTAATCGGAATGGCTGAGGTATGCATTAACACTGAGTGGGGTTTTAATGGAATTTGCAGTTCCAAACACAAACACATCTGAAATTAAGTTGGTCACATTTGCTGAGTACATTTTATGAGTTTATTGATAATACGGTCGAGTACAACGGTATGCTGAGACAGTTATTAGTTCAAACCATGTTTTTCTTTCTAGGTGATGTGTGCGCTGAGTGTTATCGTTTATGGCATCGACGCATTCTTCCTGTTTGCTCTGTACAAAGTTCACGGTGGTTACTTGAACAATCCATCAGTTACGCAGCAGGCTACAACCCACCCTCCACCGGTAGATACTCCCAAATACGGAAACGCCATGTATGATAACGCAGGCTTTGCGCGTTGACAAAACACCGAGGCCATGATAGACGTCCGGCATGTTCGTCCATAATGCAAGAGGCCTTCCAAGTGGGTGAGTAAATAAAACACAGTTTAACAGCTTTCATATGATTTCCTAAGAATGGAATTTTGTCACTATCTACAAAATTGCCTCTAACCTCAACAAACTTACGCGAGTTGCTTGATCGCGTGAACCATACTCAGTCACGCACATTATTTTTATCACGCTACCATA